GCTTATCAAGAAAGAATACATATGTGAGGAAAATGTTTACCTAAATGCTATTAGGGATGATTTGGTTTTCGGCTGGGTAGCAAGTGCAGTCTTCTTCAACTCTGCATTTGAGCTTTCCACTTCCAACTCGATGGTTACATCGGAATAGCGGTGATGCGCATTCGTACTATATTGCGGTTGGATTTCCACTCGAGATTAACAGTGCGCTGCGTGCTGAAATAAGTGATACCGCAGCGGAATTGAGGGTGTAAGTAAAGGAGTTGCAAGTCATTAGCACGTTTGTTCGCATGTCTACCATATAGGATTGGACGTTTTCTAAGATTGTGTCGAATGTTGTGATTTCGGCGCATGATATTTCTTCCCAACGAATGCAGTGGGTTGCTTCTTAGATCCCCCATACGTAGGAATTAAATAAATCCAGTAGAAGAGGGAGCCTGAACTCCAATAAAAATAGTCATACCCAAGTGGTCTGCAGATCTCTACACAGGCTGTTACTTCTGGTTAGATCTCTCCAGGTTCTAACTGAGCTAATAATCCTGAAGGGTTAGCTGGGCGTACTCTGTTTCCTTGCATTATCCTACATGTAGGCGACGCCTGCTGACCAGTACTCGGTAATTAGTGTCACAGTTGAATAGTTCCATTTGTGGTTGACAAGAAAACGTGAGTCTTTGGTAATCTGGGTTTTACACAATGCTGTTTCATTACGGATTAACTTGAAACGAGCTTCTCTCATGAATAAATTATTCTCCAATATATCAAAGATTTTAATCTTGCAGGTTTGGGTGTCATTCAAACAAATACAGAATGTAGTAGCAAGGGAGAAAAGGTTGGCATATAGACCTGCTTTAATTAGTTTTATTTCAATAGTGGAAATTGTTAATAGTAGCTTTGTAGTAGCTTTGTAATGTCTCAAGAGCGATGGTGTTATGAGCAACGTATGAGATTTCTGCAAAAATGAGAAGTTACAAATATCCCGTTATCAATAGGCATGTTTTCCGGCATCTTCGGATACTAGCAAAGGAGCCTAACGATGAGAAAATTAGAAGATAAGAACAGGTTGAAAAAGAAAAAAATAACGAAAAACACTTTAATAGATGACCAACAAGAAGGAAAAAAGATAAAAACGAAGATTGAAAAGGTAAAGCGAGAATTTACTAATAAAAGTGACAAAGCTCTGAATGAAATAGATTTATGTAAAAGGATAGAGAATAAAGCTCTCAGTGCTGATCAATCCGTCAGGGATGCGCCATGCATTCGACTTCGTTAAGCATCGTTTGGAGGTGAATGAATGCATATCTAGTCTTTACAATGACTCGCGGTGGTCTACCGATGTACCGAGCCAGTGCTGCTATGCTCCCGGGCTTCCAGTTGGACGTGTGCTCGTCGTAGTTGTGTCATAGAATTGTGATCATATAAGTCGCTAAATGAATGTTACCATAATGCGTATAAGTTCTCCGATGATGGCTGGCTTAAATAAAGGTATATAGCAGCTAATACTAATTAAATATAATAGAATAATAGTAGCTAACATTGCTTCCACCGGGCAACATTACGGGTGAAAATTGTTGTGGGGCGGAAAACGCAATTATTGTGCGATGCCGATAAGCAAGTGGTTTCAGCAATTCCCACTGAGTTGTTCTATGCTATTCCCATTTGCATCTTATACCAATACAGGTGCACATGTGGCAAAGTGGTCGGGGACGCCCTGCAACACACACGTGGAATAGATCTCCCGCGCCCACGGCCCATCAAGTCTTCCTTCCCTCCGGTATCAACAAATTGCAACCAGACCTGTCTGGGGAGGATAGAAGCACTGACTTGATACATTGGTAGGCCACCGCGAGTCATTGTGAAGGCCAGATATGCATTCAATCACCTCCAACGATATTTAGTAAAGCTGAATGCACGACGCACCTCTCAAGGGTTGATCAACGCCGAGCGCTTTATTTTTTACCTTTTACGGCAACTGTAGGCAGTCGGAATGGCTGTTCAATAAAATTTCAAGCAGTTTTGCCTGTTTTTCTTCTGATTTGTCATGTACGGCTATTTTTGTCATAAAATTGGCATCAGTGGAAAAGAATTCACGAAGACACATATTGAGTTAATTGTATATTTGTTTCACACGTGAGTAGACATGAATGATTTATCTAAATCGACAGCAGTTGAAATGAGGTTACGCATAAAGTCGTTCTTTAGCTCTGTGAGTAGTTCGGCGCCATTTTTATAGTTGTTGAAATGGAAACGAATTGTGCTTTCTATCAGGAACGGTGATATGATTAATCCGAACATGTTACTTGGCTCGATGGATGTCGATGTCATTTCCGATTGCAGCGACATGCAGCATGTGACATCGAGGTCATCCTCGTGAAGTCGGACATCCGTTAACGGGAGTGCTATAGGAGCAATAATTAGCACTGAGCCATGTTAAGTTGAAGCTGCTGTAGAAATCACAACGTCTAACTTTTATTTACTAGCAGCAGAGTTTTACTCGTATCTTAGGTAACTGTAGTTTTATTCCATATAATATCATGCCACAAGAAATAATACGGAGTAGATGGGAAGTTAATTTAGGGTTCGCTTAAGTGTGATTGGTTTATTTGTATACAATAATATTAATGCTTCTTTCTAAGGAAGGCGAAAATATTCTCCATCGGCTCGTCTTTCAATAATTTCGTTGACGTGATGCCAAGCTCTTTGAGGCATAAATATTTTTGCTTCTTTCAGAGCTCAAAAATTTTTTTGTTCTGGCAAATTCTGATGCCCAGATTCCAATTTATCTCATCTGAGTGGTTCGTCATCATCTGTTTTAGGATGTTGGTTGACGGCAGCAGTGACGTGCCCTTCTTGTGTCCAACATTGATCCTACTTATTCACTTCACCGTCATCTTTTTGCATTTGCAACGAGTTCTCATCATTATGTGGTAATTGTGGCAATTTTTTGACTTCTTCTGTGATTAGGTGTCCAGAGGAGTGGGAGAAGAAAGTGCAGTCTTGGTGGCAGTTCAGTGTGGGTCTGTCGGTTTTTGGTAGTGCCCAAGATTGCTCAAAACCCAATAAGTAGACGGTGGATTTTAAGTGCACTTTGGTGACATCGATTTGAAGGCTGCACTGTCAAATGAACTCTATTTCTTCTGGGTAGACTGTTGGAGGCTGGAAAGGGTTGGTTATAGCGTTGTGTGTAAACATGGATAATGAAAGCCGATGTTCGCTCGGGTCCCATTCTTCAAGTGGGTCTGCTCGTGATACGTGTTCTTGTATCAGACCCGAATGTGTTTAGGAGTAATTTGTTTTTCTTTCTTGTGGGTAGATGGAGTTTTGGAAAGAGCTTTCCTTGATGAAGGACAATTTAGTTTCAGTGCCCAATAAGACGGAAATTTTTTTTAATGCTTCGTTGTTCGATTGATTACACTTATTTCTCCTGTAGGCAAGAAAGCTGACTGTACTCTTTTGTTTGATTGCGCTAGTGTTTTCGGGATATGATTTAACTTGAAAACATATCATGATAGGCTGTGGGTGTGGTGCATACTGAGTGAGGAAATACATCATTGTGTGTTTATTGCGCGTTGTGTTTATTTCAAGTAGTTTCAGGCCGATCGCCATCGAAACAAGAGATCCTCGAAGAAGACTGGACTGCATCCTCAACTTACGAAGCTTCGAACTTTGTCGTAAACGACGCTAAGCGTTTGATCAAAATGTTATAGTTAATTTCTCTCTCACTGAAAGCGCAAAGTGGTAAATATGCCCTAAAATGACGTCATACTTCTGGATAAGATTCCATATTTCGTAATAAATTCTTCATTTCTATTGTATTTTGATCGAATGACAACACAGAATACTTCATATCAGAATTAACACAATTTCTTTCCTCTCAGAAGTTATCATCTGACTTTGTCAATAAAGATTCGAACGACGTTTTCGGTACCGTCGTCCAATTTCTGGATCGATTTCAAGTTCGGTCGGCACTCAATTTCGTGCTGAAAAGTAGTTGGTTGCAGTTTATAAACAGCTCAAGATTAACTAAGTGATCGTCATTGACGGTTGGTTTACTCGTTGCTTTGAAAATAAAACAAGTTCAAGACTGAAAATAAAGGATAAAGCTCTCGGCGTTGATCAATCCCTGAGAGATGCGCCATCCATTTGACTTCAATAACCATCGTTGAGAGGCGATTGAATGCATATCTGGCCATTACAATGATTCGTTGAGGCCTATCGATGTATCGAGCCAGTGCTGCTATCCTCCCAGACAAGTCTGGCACCAATTTGCTGACCCAGTAGGGATGGAAGGCTTGGTGAGCCATGGGCGCGGAGATCGATTCCACATGTGTGTTGCAGGGCACCTCCGACCACTACGCCACATGCGCCCCAGTGCAAGATTAATAAAAGTTTATTTGAAAGCACTTTTGAAAGCCGACCGCGATTCCACCTTGGCATGATTAATCAACATTATTTTAGGTTGATCAGCTTATATGAGGTTACTACGAAACAAGCTAAGCAATCTAAGAAGATATTGATCACTTGTGAATAGTTTTATAAACAAACTTTCGTTCAAATCCAGTATAAATGATCAATATCTTGTTCACAAGCTAACACAAGTTCATTATAAAAGTTTATTCGGCTAACGCTCCAATTCACTCGCCGTCTTCACCACCTGAATGATTCAAGTCGATTGTCAAAAGCCATTCATTTTAGCGATGTAATTCTTCTTGGACACATCCAGGGGAGCCCAATGTAGTGCAGCACTCTTCGAATGAAACACCGTCCCTTATCAATGCCCATTTATGCACAAAGGGTTCAGTGATGTAGTGTTCCGCTTCAGCGGATTCTGCTCCACTCAAATACGAGGACCCACATGACATGGTCGAATTACTCTTGATCATCGACTCGAATAATCGCTGTTCGGAAGAAGGCGAAGGTCCCGAAAGGCTAACCAAATAAATTTTTGTACCAATCTAGTGCTAACTTGTAAAAGAAATGACGTATTTGAGAATAATTCCTACGGTTTAAAATAATTGCTCAGATGCAACAGAAAGAAGTGCGACTGACTCTGAAAACAGTTTGAGCGTAAAATTTAAGATATTTACCATTCCGGCCGTAAGGTTGGAGATTCTCAACATAACGTATGGTTGTTCGTATCCGATTTGGTTCCAAAATGGGAACGCGCAGGTCGACATACCCTCTTCTGGGATCATTTGCAAGGAGGCCGATCCCTTAACATTAACGCTCTATTTTTTAAATCACTTAGGATGATGTAACCTCAGTCTTTACTTCTTCACTCAGCCGAAGACACTTCAACTTTACCATTAAAATTCAAATCAAATTGAAAATGTCGGAGTCCTATAGTTCAAATTCAAATTATTTGGTGGACAGCGGTAAAAGAAAGGATAAAGCTCTCGGTGTTGATCAGTCTCTGATGGGTGCGCCATGCCTTCGACTTCGTTAAGCTTTGTCTGGAGGTGATTGAGTGCATATCTGATCTTTACAACAACTCGGCCTACCGATGTATCGAGCCAGTGCTGCTATCCTCTCAGATAAGTCTGGTACCAATTCTCTGACCCCGGAGGCATGGAAGGCTTAATGGGTCATGAGCGCGGGGACCGATTCCATGTAGGTGTTGCAGGACGCCTCCAATCACTGCCTCACACGCGCACTAGTGGACAGCAGCAGCTACTCTAAATATGGAACCTACTTATTTCAGAATTATGAAAAAAATAGAGGAGAGGGCCTTAAAATATAGAGTCTAATAGAAATACCAGAAAAAAACGCAGTTTCAAACCTTCGAACTGCATGTGAAACGTATTCTTTTCTTGTTGCAGCAGTCGGTCTGACCCTCTTTACATGGATAATCCTTTAAAGGCGGATTGTGTTTTTTCGTGTTTTTCAAATATTTGAGATGTTCATTTCATAGCTAACTTACCGACAATTCTTCGCTATCACTAGGATACCAGCCAAGCATCTAGAAATAAAAATGGGTTTTACAAGCTCAACGACCACACTGTCCACCGTTGTCAGGCAAGAAAGTCGTAGCTTACCCTAGTAAGGCGGAGCATGATGCATGGCTTACTTCTGCTGAATCCCATTCCTCTGTTGATGTTCATCCTTAACATGAGTAAGTAACCGAATCTCAGTGTAAAACCCTTTTTAAAAGCAGTATCACATAATCGCACTATAGCAAGAAGGTAGCGAAGTGATTTGAGAAGCCCTGTAACACACACGTGGTCATTGGTTCAGCCTCGTGCTCCAAGCTCACCAAGCTTTCCAGTCTTCCAGGGTCAGTAAATTAGTACCGTAGTTGTGAGACAAGCGAAACGAAGGACCTCCATGGTGTGGTGGTGAACGCGTTAGACCCGGAAAGGGCAATAGCGCTTTCAATCTTTACCGCAGACACCTGCTTTCCAGAGTTTTGCAAATATTTCGGCTTCATTATACTTTAGATATAGCTCTTTTTGAGCATGGTTTCCGTCAATTTTAAGACCATTAAGAGCTGATTCTATCACGTATGGACGACAGTCATATCACGAACTACTTAGCCCTTGTGTTCATTCAAGAAGAAAAAAATCCTTGCTTGTTTAATTTTTCAAGTTTTACTCTCATCCACTAATAATAAAGAAGTTTTTTGTTTCAAGGCCTTCTTACTGCCATGAATAAACAGTTTCTTCGTCACCATTATCGTAAAGCGCCTCTGAAGGGATCTCGAGTAATAAGCAATGAATCAAAATTGATATGATAAACTGCAAAGGATAAGGCGCTTCGCGTTAACCATGCACTGCTGAATGAGCTATGCATTCGACTCGATTCTTAGCACCGTAGAAGTGATGGAATGCATATCTAACCTATGCAATGACTTCTAGTGGTCTATGTCATGTATCAGATCACTGCTTTCATTCTTGCAACCAAGTCTTGTACCAATTCTGTTGTCTCTAGAGGGATGAAGAGTGGAGTTGATAAGTGTGGAGCGAGGGTTTGAACAAACCAGGATCTAGCCTGCATTGCAGAGAAGGTCTAATGACTACCACTGTACTACATGTGGTGGGCATGAAAATTTGTACATGAGAAAAAAAAGGCGTGGTGAAAGAATATTGAGAGAACTTTTTGGTCTATGTACAAAGTGGTAGCTGAGCAAGTAATAATCTAGTAGGCGAAAGAATAAAGAAATTGGAAAAAGGTTACGGAATGCACGCACAAAGTGAGTGCGCATGGGCCAAAGTCATTGCGATTACTAGTATCCATACGACAGACTGATTGGTTTGTCGGAAAGCCATCTGGCACTCCCGAAATCGAAGCGCAGGTCGGTGAATCCGTTCTATTGTATTCATCTGTAAGCATACTGTGCAGTATCAATAAATGGCCTGAAGTATTTCCGAGCTCTATCACTTATGATTCTACTGGTCATTTATCCTTCCTCTATAAAACCTTAAGATATTATCTGAAGCAGTACTAAAAATTTTTATTTCGCAAAAGTAAAAAGAAAAAACCGTTGGTATAGATCAAACCCATGCATTCGACTTCATTAAACATCGTCTGGAGGTGATTGAATATGCATTCAGGATATAATATAGCATAACTAGCGTTTACACTGACTCACGGTGGCGCACCGATGTATCGAGTCAGTGTCGCTATCCTCCCAGACAGGTCTGGTACGAATTTACCGACGCTGGGCAGATTGAAGGATCGGTGAGCCAGCGCGGGGATTGATCCCAGGTGTGTGTTGCAGAGCGACTCCGACCAATGCACCACATACGCCCTAATTTCACCTTTATTCTATAATATCAACCTTTATTCTGCAACATTTAATTAATTAATTAGGTTAGCAAACTAATTCTATAACAATAAAAAATAATAGTAATACTCCTCCTAACGGTGCGGTTTGCCGCGTCATCGTGGCTGGGAGGTGTTCCTGGATGTCGGGCTGCAATGTACAGCGGGTGATTCATCACCCCGCAGGGTCTCCTAAGCTGAGAATAAATCCGTAGTTTCCATAAGAAAGCTTCGCTAAAAGCAAACCAATACCAAGATCCACCACCGTTCTGGCATCAAGGTCGCATGTGGCAAATCTCCCTCTGATCCACAAGGGCTGCGACTGCCTGCGGTGGTGAAGGCCTGGGATAGACTTTAGCTTGGCTGAACACGGGACTCCAGGAAACCACGATGGCTTAACCAGCAAATCCAAGCATCAGTAGTGATTTCGTCAATAAACAGAATCAAGGAATAGGAAGCATTTTAATAAGCTAGTTTCCAATTTACTGAATATGATGACAAGTTCATAGAATCACTTACGCTTTAGTAGCAGTTTGTATCTAACCATGAGATTTTGATAAGTTTTCGGATCTCTCGGTTTGAACCGAATAACGCTTCTCGTGCTGACATCAAAACGATTAGGATTCGGTTCGAAAACAATTTCTAAACATTTTCGAAGATCGGCTCAAGCTTCCTTTCTTGGCATTAGCGAATACATTTGCTTGACACTGTTACAATATTTTAAGTTCCACAAAAGATCTTTAGGCGGATTCTTGCGATGAAAACAGGGGACAGCCAGGATCTCTCATAAAGAGACAGTCAGAGAACCGAAAAAACTTGGAAACTCGAAAAAAGAAAGAATTTCTGATAACAACAAGAAATAAATCACCAAATGCCAGCGTTGTTCGGTCTGGGTGTAAATGAAGTTTCCTTCCCTTCAAACTCATAAGACTAACAGTTTTGATCTTTAAGACTAAACGACTAACGTGGAGTTCCTCCAATGTGAGTGCCTTTTCCGAAATACTGAGGTCTTTCCGTCAGTCTAGCCAAGAGAATATGCATCACTAACAAAGTAAATGCAGCTCCACATATCCATAAGATGCTCAGGTAGACGAATGACTTCACTGAAGAGGATTAAGCCATCGTATCATTAGTAGACCTTCAGTCCACCAGTTCAGTTTTTATATAAAAAGATTTAGTGTGAAATTATTTGCAGTGAGTGCTTCCTTAAGTAAGAATTGTTGGGAAGCCTTAATAACTCGAAAGACCGACTTTCTATAAACCTCGGCATAGGTAGTTGATATATTTATTTATGTGATCTTATAAACTGAACTTCTTAAGCTGATGCGAGGTTGGTACAGGTCTTCGTTGTCGTTGTCGTTGTTTTTGATGTTATTGATCGATGGGTGACGTTTCGGCGAATTCGCCTTCCTCGGAGCCGTGATGTTACGTGCTGGACTCCTCATCAATAACAACGACAACGACAACGAAGACCTGTACCAACCTCGTGTTAGGAAGCCTGTTTTAGGAATTCGCAATCGTTCTCCTTCCATTCAGTGGTCGGACTAGAAAAAATTAGGTGAACCACTGTTATTTTAATTGGTCTCGCCTCTGTACGAAAAAAGTCTCAGTTAGACTGAGGGCCAGTAAAGAGCGTCGACCACGCCTTTTTTGCAAAGTACTGTTACGGTCAATCGAATACGTTAGAGCTTATGAATAAAAAAGCTAACCAAAAATGAGAATAACAACAAATTTTCATATTTCTTGCACTCCAAATCATAATCCTTATAATTAAGAAATTAGCTCACCCCATCCTGCAAATCCCTTCTTGAATTCCGAACCATCGCTTCTCTTGGGGCCATCTATGGAGACCTCATCACGTCTTCTAGAGAAATTGGTGCGAAATAGCAAATACGTATTCGTCTATATATGCATGAAGGTGATCGTATAAAGCCTATCATTAGCTTTGTTTTAAGGAAATTAAAATATCACCGAACTCGTCAGTGGATGGTGGGTTTTGTTCGGATTTTTCGGTTTGCTCAGACACAGGATTGCTTCCTCTATTTGACGCGGTTCCCCGAGATGAAGCTGAAAACGAAAACCTAACGATGCACGCTAGTCTACATAGAGGCTCATGTTGGACGTTTAATAGTCCGTCCGAAAGGTCGTCTGGACATAAGAAATGGACTTTGAGTAAACACTTATTGTAAAATGCCTAGATTTGTTAAAACATATGATGAATAAGGCAGTAGGCAGCGCTGTGGTAGTGATCCCGCTCATTACGCTTGTGGCGTAGCCTACCTAAGTACTGGTTCACTGCCGCTTCGGAGCAAACAAACCTCTTGTCCTTCTAGAGTTGGGAGATTGAAACCAGAGTTCTCTGGAACGAGCTGACTCCCTCCAGTCTACACGGGAAAACCTCAGCATGGGAAATAGAGAAAATCAACTCGACCATCATTCAGCAGCACTCATGACAAGGACAGAAAAAGAAATCATCAAGCTGAAGCCTAAGTTCAAAGGCTCAACTCGAAGACCTTCACATGGGCGCGAGGAAATGATTCGAATGAGAAGTACTGAGACCCGCGCAGAGTGAACATGTGATATCTGGTCACACAATAAATAAGTAAAATGAAATAGATTGAATGTCGTTCAGCCGGAAAGGATTTGTTCAATTTGATCAGTCTTAACACTTCGCTAAAAACTTCGCTACCATGGCGCAGGGTCAGTGACGCCATCCACCAAGAGCACGGCGACTGGTTCGGCTCCGCTTTTAGATTCACCAGGCCTCTCATCTTTTCGAGGTCGAGAAAACTGGTACCATACTTATCTGAGAACATTTCACCTTTTGCAATCGAAGTAGCAATACTCTAGGCTGTCCATCTTACTACTCCAGAAAGAATTGACTTGACCAGCATTCAACGATGTGCATAAAGAAGAGGACAAACCTCAAACAGCAGCCCAGCCCTTGCATGTGACTTCGGAGAATTTCGTGGACGATGGATGCGAAGAAACAAATTGAGTGCAAGAAATACTAGGGTCAGTATAACAAACTTGAAGACGGATCTTGTCAAATCTGAGAAAAAACTCTAGTGCGGCCTGAGCATTGTATAAACAACATTGGTAATTAATAGCCAGCAACTGTAAACCTAACGAATTTACAGATGGGAGATGTGGTCCGGAAAATCTTGGCGAGAGTGCTCACTTTGTCCCACAAAAAGCATTTCTACCCACTTTTCTAACTAATCACTTCCTCACTATCAACACTGGAGTTCATATTTCAGGCGAGACCAATATGTATTTTTAAGTTTATGAACAATGACACAGTTTACAAGGCTAGAATGAAATATCATTGAGCTCATGTACAAGATACAAGTGAAAAAAGGACATGATATTTGGGAGAAGAATTCATGTTTTTAAAGTGATGGTAATTGTG